AAGAATCTCAGCGACGAGATATTCTAGAACAGCGGCCAAATAGACTGGCGCTCCAGAACCGACGCGCTTAGCATAACGGCCCTTCTTCAGATACCTTGCGATACGGCCAACAGGGAACTGTAGACCAGCCTTGGCGGAGCGAGACTTGGCTCCACTGCCACTCTTCTTGCCAGCTTTGCCACGACCTCCTTTACCCTTTCCGGACATGGTTTTACTATCAAGGATTTAGTTTAAACGGATGATGGTCAGAGTTATGCACCACTGGTTGATGTGATATCGTACGCGATCTGATGGAAAAAACGTTAAATGTTTACGAACCGATGAATGGCGATTTCTAATTTTCGTCTTAAAATTACACCTATTTTTACGGAAGTTCGAATATTTAGATGGCGTTGAATAACGCCTTGTAATGCATGTTAGACTCAAGAGGCTTCTGATAGCTTACGATCTCTCGCCACGGATCCTCCTGGCGAGCTGCATATCCTTAGGCATGATAGTTACACGCTTAGCATGGATGGCACAGAGGTTGGTATCTTCGAAGAGACCCACAAGATAGGCTTCGGCAGCCTCTTGTAGAGCCATTACGGCGCTACTCTGAAACCTCAGATCAGTCTTGAAGTCTTGGGCGACTTCACGGACAAGCCTCTGAAATGGTAGCTTGCGAATAAGAAGGTCAGTGCTCTTCTGATATCGCCTAATTTCGCGAAGAGCAACTGTGCCAGGGCGATATCTATGAGGCTTCTTGATGCCGCCAGTGCTTGGAGTGGACTTGCGAGCTGCCTTGGAAGCGAGCTGCTTGCGAGGAGCCTTGCCACCGGTGGATTTCCTAGCTGTTTGCTTAGTTCTAGCCATTACGAAGATTACTCGGGTACGATGAAGATAAAGTAAGTGCAAGCTCAGGGGCTGCCATTTTTCTGCGCAAGAACTGATGGAAAGATCGTCAAATAACAAACTGGGCATTGTAGTATCAGATTATTGAGTATGAAGATATACCTGATCTGCATTCGAGCCCCTCACGCCCTTACTACTCTCTCCCCCGCAGTTCTAATATTACGGCTGAAT